CTCTCTAATAAACAAATCCTTTACGTCCCTTCTTTATTATTAAATCAGCTTTGCAAATCATTCGTTAATCTTCACTGTACACCTTGCATAAAAATTTCATATGGTACACACGAGGTGTCATGCACACCAGAAAATTAAAACAGCTGTCACGGTTAAACTTCATATTATTTCGGATCCGAAAAATTAGTAAATATTCTTCAGACGTTCTAAAGTAAAGGTGAACAGCGTTTTTCTTAAAAATATCACTGTTATGTAGTAAAAAAAATCCGTAAAGTTCTCGCCTTGTGACTTGTTCAATACTTCGATCGCGGCTCGAGTCCGTCCCGACCTTCTGTCAAAGCCTCGTGCTGCGGACTCTCTCGCGGACCCTCTCTCTCGCACCGTCACCTCTCATTGGCCAGTGTTTTTCGTTAATAACTCGTAAACAAAGCCGCGGATTGCATTTTCGCAAAGGAAAAAGTTACTTCAAATGACCTCAGCTACCCCTCATTTTCGGCTGTTAAAATAATTGTGGGACACCCTGTATAATGAAGAAAATCGAATTGAATGAATTCCTCGGAAAGGCCGGCCATAGAAACTTGACGACGTCAAGTATAATATAAATATATTATATTATTATATTATATATTATATATATAATATAAACGTATTATTTTGAGAAATGTAAAAGTGAGCCCTGGTTTGAGTGCTCCAACATTAAGCGCTGAATTGTTTCAAGAGACAGGAAAGAAAGTTCATCCAGACACAATACGTCGAGTGTTGAAAACAGACGGATACAATGGTAGAATGGCGCGTAAGAATCCGTATACAGAGTGTCCCAAAAATGTCTCGCAATCCGGAAATGGCGGGTTCCTCGGATCATTTGATCCTTTACAAAAATTTTCTCCGAGGCACCGTTAACGAGTTATTAACGAAAAACAGTGACCAATAAGAATCGAGTACGGCTGACGCGAGGTGGCCCAGCCAACCAGCGCGCGAAGCCCAATTCCGCTCATTGGGTCGGTCGCCTCGCGCCAGCCGAGCTCGTCTCTCATTGGTCACTGTTTTTCATTAATAACTCATTAACGGTGCCTCGGAGAAAATTTTTGTAAAGGAAGAAGTTGCTTCGAATAACCTGAGGAATCCGCCACTTTTGGATTGCGAGACATTTTTGGGACATCATGTATAAACGAGGCGAATCGCAGAAAAAAATCAGCTTTTGCAAAACAATATGTTCACAAGGAAAAAACTTGGTGGAACAATGTAATTTTCGCCGATGATAGTAAATTGAAATCTGTTTAACACCGATGGTCGAAAATTAGTATGTCGTAGACGAAATCAAGAGCTTAACCGAATAAATTGAAATCCAACGGTAAAGCACGCTGGTGGAAGTATTATTGCGTATTTCATCAAAAGGAGTCGGACAACTGGTTTTCATAGAAGAAATTTCAGATAAATTTAAGCGTCTAAATATTTGAAAACAAAATCTTAAGAAAAGTGCGACCGCGATGGATATATGTACAACACACATTTAAATATTATGAAGATAATGATCCAAAACATAAAGCCAATATAGTTCAAGAATACCTTCTGTAAAATTGCCTCATAGTATTACATCCGCAACTATAGTCGCCAGACTTGAATCCCATTGAAAATGTACGGGAGTTTTTGGACAGGAACATTCGAACGACACCGATAAGATCGAAGGAAGAATTTAAAAAACGATTAATTGAAGAATGGAAATTATACCGCTGACTTGCAAAAAGTTATAGACAATATGCCTAAGCGCTTGCGACACGTAATTAAAGCTAAGGACTATCTAAGGACTAAATATTAATTATCGCTTATGTTAATAATTTTCATGTTTAAATGTCGAGCGTTCGAATATTTTTGCGATTTTAAATTTCGACATAATTTAGTTCATTGTTTGTTATTAAGAAAAGTTTCTGCAATAAATAAGTAAAATTTATGTTATTACAAACTACAATGAATGTTCTATTATATTATAAAACAAGAACGTCGAATTTACTATTACAAACAATCGGAACCAGCAACAATTTTTTTAATATATATATATATATATAGCATCATGTTTGTTTAATCTTATATTTAACCTTAACCTCAATATAACCTTAACATTGTAGTTCAATTTACTTCATACGTATGTATACCAAAAGTTTGTGTACAAGCCGTTGTCTACATGATAGTGAGTCACTGGAATTGAACGATTCTATTTCTTGTTGCTTCGATCAATGGATTCTAGCAAAGATTATTTTTTAAGTAATTTAACTCATAGTATTGACTGTATCGTTATAATTAAATCGAAATTTATGTAGGTCTTTTTAATTCGTAATTCGCGGTTATGGTATTTAGCTTGATTCTTATTTCGGTAACAGGCACACAGTTCCAAGAAGAAATTATACTGATAGAGATTAAGAATAATCGTTTTATGAAGACTAATTTCTTCGAACGCAGTGCCACTATACCAAATACTGTGGACTGCGTCTGACCATTGCATGACGCTTTCTACTTACAAGGAAAGGTTTTCTGGTGTCCGCCTCCGATTGCTTTAGTTTTTGGATTTGTTATAGGGGACTAGAAAATACGAGATACGTATTTTTTTTTATATCGGCCCAATCTCATATTTAGGGGGAGAAACCACCCTACAAAATTTATAAGATGGAATATGAAAAATCGCTTAAAATCAGTCGAAGGATTATTATCGAACTTGTTGTAAACTTTAATTTGCGTAAAGTTTATCTGAATGGGTGAATATTACTCTTGTCGTCGGTCACCCTTAATACAGGGTAAACTACCCCTAATCGTTCCAACACACATTTAAAAGACTTGAAAGCTGCATGGATTTTCATTCTAACAAATTATTGTGCGATAACAAATTAGTGGATTTATGACCTCGCACCCTTACCGAGGGGTGAGAAACCACCCCTAATTATGGTGAACTATATTTGCCTTAAGAGTGGCCGATCAGATTCAAATAAAATTGCAAATTTCTTGAAAATTGTGTTCTACTTCGTTAATGAGAATAATATTATTTAAAAAATATATTAAATTATTTTTAAAAGTGCAAATTGATACTAACAATATAAAAAGTAAAAAAGCGTGAGATTATCAAGTGTACGCCTAATAATCGTCATTGTTTGGAAATAATCTTCAACGAAGAAATAATCTTTACCTGAATTTGTTCGGCCATTATTAAAGCCAAATGTAGTTCATCGCAATCGGGAGTGGGGTACCCCTGGCTAAGGGTGAAAGGTCATGTATCCACTAATTTATTATGCAATAATTTGTTCAAACGAAATCGAGATTTCTTATGGTTTATACGAACTCCTTGCAGTTTTCAAGTCTTTTAAATGTGCATTGATACGATTAGGGGTAGTTCACGCCATATCAAGGGTGACCGACAACAAAAGCACAGTATTCACCCACCCAGAAATGCACAAATTAAGTTTATAACAAGTTTGATAATAATCCTTCAACTAACTTCAAGCGAATTTTCATATTCCATCTTATAAATTTCGAGGGGTGGTTTCTCCCCCCTCCTTCAAATATGAAATTTAGCTGATATAAATAAAACACGTATCCCTTATTTTTTGTTCCTCTACAACATATTTAAAAACCATTCCTTGTAAGAATGTCCAAACTTTTGGTCGGTAATGCAGTTATAACAACGAGTCCTCCATGAGCTATGTTTTTTAATTTCTGTGTGCAGGTGAAGCTTGGCAAGAGATCATGATGGACTGTTCCGCGCAGCCGGGAAAGGTCAAGTGTGACCCTAACAGCGACGAAGCGGGCAATCTAAGTGGCTGTGGATCCGATATCGCGATTCCCTACTTTATATCTTTCTACGTTTTATGCTCGTTCCTAGTAAGTGAACCTAATCGTTAAACCTACTTGTTAATAGAATACCAGCTGATTACATTGTGGTGCTTTCAGATCATCAATCTCTTCGTCGCCGTAATCATGGACAATTTCGATTACTTGACGAGGGATTGGTCGATCTTGGGTCCCCACCATTTGGACGAGTTCATTCGTCTTTGGTCCGAGTACGATCCCGACGCTAAAGGTCGCATCAAGCATCTGGACGTTGTCACCCTCCTCAGAAAAATATCGCCGCCATTGGGATTTGGTAAACTCTGCCCGCATCGTGTCGCGTGCAAAGTTAGTATCGTTGAATTGCCGTCGATCCTCCTGTTAACCAGACGTGACTTGTTCGCCAGGAATCTGTACAGATTTTGATCATTGCCTTATTCTGTTCTATAAGCAATTAAATAGACAAATTAGTTACTACTCTCCTCTATGATAACCAGAAGAACGTTTCTATTTTTCTATCCTGTTAACACTTCGAGTCTCTTGACAGCTTGGACACTTTAATATTTAAAAGTTCATTGTACAAGTGTCTAACTTGATAGTGCACTGTACAAGTGTTTAACTTAATAGTTGATTGTACAAGCGTTCAATTGATAGTTCATTCTACGAGCATCTAACTTGATAGTTCATTTCATGAGTTTTTAACTCGACAGCTCACTGCGTCATTTTGATTATATCTCAACAAGTTTCCACGTCGCGCAACAAGTCATCCTTGAAATCTATTTCTCTCGACTAATTGGATTCACGCGCATCCCGCAGAGGCTGGTGTCGATGAACATGCCGCTGAACAGCGATGGCACGGTCCTCTTCAACGCGACCTTGTTCGCCGTAGTGAGGACTTCGTTGAGAATTAAGACCGAGGGAAACATCGATGACGCGAATACCGAGCTCAGGGCGGTCATCAAGAAGATCTGGAAGAGGACCAGCCCAAAGCTTCTTGATCAAGTGGTGCCGCCGCCAGGAGGTGCGCAAAACCGATCGTTACGATATAGCTTGAACATCGTCATATACAGTGTCCCAAAAATGTTTCACAATGCGGAAATGGCGGGTTCCTCGGATCATGTGAAGAAACTTCTTCCTTTACAAAAATGTTCTCCGAGGCACCGTTAACGAGTTATTAACGAAAAACAGTGACCAATAAGAATCGAGTACGGCACCATTAACGAGTTAATAACGAAAAACAGCGACCAATGAGAGGCGAGTTCGGCTGGCGCGAGGCGACTGAGCCAATGAGCGAAACTGGGCTTCGTGCGCTGGTTGGCTGGGCCGCCTCGCGTCAGCCGTACTCGATCCTTATTGGTCACTGTTTTTCGTTAATAACTCGTTAACGGTGCCTCAGAGAAAATTTTTGTGAAGGAAGAAGTTGCTTCAAATGATCCGAGGAACCCACCATTTCCGGATTGCGAGTCATTTTTGGGACACCCTGTATAATTGCGTTCTGCAAGATCGTCTTGTTCTTGACTTCGAGTCCGTTTTAGGTCAAGAACACAGACACAGAACACAGACACCGGCGCACGAAGCCCAGTTCCGCTCATTGGCTCGGTCGCCTCTCATTGGTCACTGTTTTTCGCTAATAACTCGTTAACGGTGCCTCGGAGAAAATTTTTGTAAAGGAAAAAGTTGCTTCGAATGACCTGAAGAACCCGCCACTTTCGGATTGCGAGACATTTTTGGAACACCCCTGTACATATTTGTTGATCGTTAAATTTCAGTGGACGACGAGGTGACCGTCGGCAAGTTCTACGCGACCTTCCTGATCCAGGACTACTTCCGAAGGTTCAAGAAGCGCAAGGAACAGGAGATGAAGGACGGCGACAAAGAGTGCCATAACACGGTCACCCTCCAGGCAGGTCTGCGGACTTTACACGAAGCAGGGCCGGAGTTGAAGAGAGCCATCTCTGGAAACCTGGAGGAGCTTCTCGACGATAATCCTCAGCCTATGCACAGGGTATTGTAATCAAGGCAACGCCTATAATAAATCAGTCTCAACGAGTTTTCGTTGTCTCAGAGTATTTTTTCGATCTGACCAGCTTTCTCTCTTGCAGAGAAATCATAGACTGTTCGGTAACGTCTGGCTGAGCATGAAGAAGGGTCACCATAGCTTTAACAGGGCGAGGTCGCTCAAAGTGAATTCCACGAACAAGGTAGTCGCGCGAATCTAACAGTACGTTCATAATGAGGCAAACTGTCGCCTCTTGTTCCTGGATGTTCGTAAACGTTTCCAGTGGGACAGTAACTTGTATGAACAATTCGGAGAAGACGATCCGTTTCTTCTCTTCGGATATAGAACAGGAAACAAGCGACAAGGAGTTGCCAGTTGTTGTTTTATCGGGGACGCAGTCTAAAAACCGAACGACTCTAATTCTGCTGTTTTCATTCGCAGGCTTCCCCCACAAATTCGATCGAGTTCCTGCCGTACTGGTCCCTGCGCCGAGGAGCCGGGCACGATACATCCAATCAAATCACCGCGAGGTCTCATCAGGTTGTGCCAAACGTAGCAGGGTTAGTTTCGTCGCAAGTTTCTGCAAGCAAACACAGGCGTTCCTCGTACAATACGGAATCTGTCAAGGCCCTTAAAGACGTTGCGGCTCTTCACAATTTAAGCCGTGTACAGTAATGTCTCTCTAATTAACGCCCAGATTGACCACAAAAATGGACAATTTGGGAAGAGGAGATACGATTATTCGAACCTTGCGGTTTATTGTTGTGATTATAAATTGTCCACAATTATAAAAACGAGCCGCAAGGCTCGAATAATCGTATCTCCTCTTCCCAAATTATCCATTTTAGTGGACAACCTGAGCGTCAGTAAGACATTACTGTATCTATGAACATTCATACCGACGTGTCAATACCGGGTGTCCCAAAAATGTCTCGCAATCCGAAAGTGGCGGGTTCCTCCGGTCATTCGAAGCAACTTTTTCCTTTACAAAAATTTTCTCCGAGGCACCATTAACGAGTTAATAACGAAAAACAGCGACCAATGAGAGGCGAACTCGGCTGGCGCGAGGCGACTGAGTCAATGAGCGAAACTGGGCTTCGTGCGCTGGTTGGCTGGGCCGCCTCGCGTCAACCGTACTCGATCCTTATTGGTCACTGTTTTTTGTTAATAACTCGTTAACGGTGCCTCAGAGAAAATTTTTGTGAAGGAAGAAGTTGCTTCAAATGATCCGAGGAACCCACCATTTCCGGATTGCGAGTCATTTTTGGGACACCCTGTATAATTGCGTTCTGCAAGATCGTCTTGTTCTTGACTTCGAGTCCGTTTTAGGTCAAGAACACAGACACACAAAGCACGGAACTAGTACAAAAGTTCTAGTTCTTTCTATGTTCCTGTTTAAGACGAAAGACAAGTCCATTCGTTCGCCTAACTCTCAGGCTACGACCTGAAGATTATCCGCGCTTGTTCGCCTATTACAGTTTCCTTAATGGAACAGGAATTACTAAAAAATAATAGAAGAAACTTAGAAATAGTAGAAGAAATTTAGAAGAAACGAGTAACACTTACATTTAATAGATCACGTATGAGGTCTTCGTCACGAATCCCACCCGTTACATTGTCAGGGGATAAAGTAGCAACTTACCGTGTTGTACGAGGATCAGCTTAGACAAATAAACGAGCCAATAGACAGTAGATCAACGATGATGAACGCGTTTCGTTTAAGTGGGCTGAGCGACAGCGCGATGAACCAGATGGGAATGGACACGAAACCGACCGGCATGGAGGAGAGCATTCCTCTGCGACCGTTGGCCACCTTCGGAAATCCCGTCCAGCAGCTATCCTACCATCATCCGCCGTACAAAGTGATCGAGTAAGTAGGCGAAAGCTGTCCCGCGGAAACGCTTCGCTGGTCCGGTGAAAAATCACGGCCGTCACTATATCAATCGGTTGTTCGGTGCTCCGACGACGACACACACACATACACACACGCGCACGCGCGCACACACACACACACACACACACACACACACACGATCAATGGTAAAATCGCGTCGCAATGATCTCGCGCTGCTTTACGTCCGGGAATCATGTATTCCGTGAAGGAACAGAGGCACGGGCGATCGGGGATCGTTACGATCAGATTCTATCTCTCTAATTTCTCTCTCTCTCTCTCTCTCTCTCTCTCATTCTTTCTGTGTCTGTCTCTTTATCACTCTTGTCTATCTATCTCTCTGTATCTCTCTCTCTCTCTCTCTTTCTCTCTCTCTCTCTCTCTCTCTCTCTCTCTCTCTCTCTCTCTCTTATGTGATGTGATATCTGCACGGTCTTCTGTTTACTGTCGTACGTTTCAGTGGTCCAGGTAGCGGTAACTACCTACATCCGAATAGCGAATATGGTAAGAAACGTTGGGGCCTATGGAACTTGAATAGTTTGCTTTTACGTACGGATCGAAACTTACTTTCTTAATTTAGCCAATTTACTCGCTTGCGCGCGCTTGCATGCGTAACCAGACTAATTAACGAGATAACCACGTGCCGGAGAGCTCGACGGCGAAGGTCGCGTCTCGTCGGGATATCTGGCTTCTTCTCGACGCGAAACGAGATCCTTGGGATCGAGAGCCGCGCGAATAGCTGAGCAGACGAGAATCGAGAATCGATGGGAAGAGGTCCCGAGCTTGGCGCGATTGCATGTACTTTACGTTTATCGCGTTTCAGCGTCGATCAAGATCGGTGCCGATTCTCACGGTTCTCAGCTCCGCGAGATCGTCGAGCGCCTCGAGGACTGCGTACCCTGAAGAGAGAGCCAGCCAAGCTGTCCCATAAAGGGACTGTACAGGCAGCCGAGCCGGACGATCCTCGAGGTTCTCGAGGACGCGGATCGGTCGCAGAGCCGGATCGAAGACGAACAAACCCTTTGTGCGACTACGAAAATCGCTGGAACCTTGCCACATCAGGATTTAGGACGATTTTTACCTTGTCGAAGTACTCGTTCGCAGGCTTTCCGAGTTCTAAATGTATCTGAAATGTGTCTGCAAATTTTCACCGAATCAATTCCGTTGAAGCAATCGGCGGACAGTAATTCTTACAATTTTCTGTAATAAAATTTGTATGAATTGGATATACAGGATGTCCAAAAAATGTCTCGCAATCCGAAAGTGGCGGATTCCTTAGGTCATTTGAAGCAACTTCTTCCTTTACAAAAATTTCTCCGAGGCACCGTTAACGAGTTATTCAAGAAAAACAGTGACCAATGAGAGGCGAGCTCGGCTGGCGCGAGGCGACCGAGCCAATAAGCGGAACTGGGCTTCGATTCTTATTGGTCACTGTTTTTCGTTAATAACTCGTTAATGGTGCCCGGAGAAAATTTTTGTAAGGGAAGAAGTTACTTCAAATGATCCGAGGAACTCGTCATTTACGGATTGCGAGACATCTATTCAGATTTTGTATAATTTACGGTTTACTATGGGCTTAGCCGAGGTAACTTATTAACGATTGTGTAACAAGAAAATCGTCATGCATCAAAAGATTGTAGAAACAAACATCGGAAATTGTTGCTTCAGCCTGTTCTGTTGAAACGTTGCAGAACATGTATCACAGCGTGTGCTTCATCGAAGAAGTCCATTATCATTCTCGTGAATTTAAGTACTGAATTTAAGAAGAACCGTTGTCGAAGTTATTAGATAGTTCCGGTGTTAATCCTTTGCACTCGAAGCCATTAGAACTGTAAATCTGAATTAACTTTTCTGACTTATAGTACGGTAATGTCTCCCTTACTGACGCTCAGATTGTGCACAAAAATGGACAATTTGGGAAGAGAAGATACGATTATTCGAGCCTTGCAGCTCGTTTTTGTAGCTGTTGACGATTCGTAACTATAACAAATGAACCGCAAGGATCGAATAATTGTATCTTCTCTACCTAAATTGTCCATTTTTGTGAGCGTCTGTTAGAGAGACATTACTGTATTTTCATTTTAAATGAAATATAGCGCATTTCATGCATATGGAACTGAGTCTTGTGACTCATACAGCACTTAAACTTTCAACAATATTTCATATCTGAGCTTTGATAATATAAAAATGCTCTTGGAACGTGATGTAACAAATTCAACGGTGCTTCAGAGCGCAAAGGGTTAATAAATTCCCAGAAATTGGAACGCGCAATACCAGAGAATAAACTCTGTTTCGAAGAACAATGTATAAAATGTTCGAATTGTCCTGATGGTGTAAAAATTTCTGATTAGAATTAAGTTACTAGCGCAAAGGGTTGTCGAGCGTTTCGACAAAGAGCTCTGGTCGGGTGTTGCACGCGCTCGCTGTGTTTGCCCTAACAAACTAAGAGAGTGGTTTTCTGCCCGTTTTTCCGTGTGCTCGTGTGCTCGCGCGGGTGTCGGCCTATCCGACCCGCTCCGTCTTGGTCGCCGTTGCCGTATGCCGTTGCTCGAAGCAGTCTTCAGGACGGAATCGAGCGGCAGCTGACCCCACCGACGCCACCACCCCGAAGGAACCCACCCCAGTCCATTGCCCCGAGCACCGGCATTCTCCCGCACCCCGAGCAACACTCGTCCAGCAAGTCCGCCAGCGCCACGACGTCGATCGTCACGTGCACGAGCACGAGCACGTCGAGCACGAACACGTCGACCGCCACGAGCAGCTCGAGCCTCGGCTCATCCTCCAACGGGACGCGCTGTTACTATTCCTTCGCGACAAGGGGATGCTACGACGAATATGCCGTCTGGAGCAATCACGGTACGATCTACACTTTCTCTCTCTCTAGTTCTCTCTAGCTCTCTCTTTTCTTCTCTCTCTCTCTCTCTCTCTCTCTGGTTCTCTCTTTCTCCCTCCCTCTCCCTCTTTCTCTCTCTCTCTCTCTCTCCCCTCTCTCTAACTCTTACTTACCCCCCCTCTCTAGCTCGCTTTCGCCTCTCTCTCTCTCTCTCTCTCTTACTCTCTTTCTCTAGCTTCCCCTTTCTCCTCTCTCCTACGCTCTATATCTCTAGTTCTCTCTTTCTCCTCACTTTCTCGCTCTCTTTCTGCTGTCTCTCTCTAGCTCTCTCTGTCTCCTCCCTCCCTTCTCCCTCTCTCACTCTCTCTCTCTCTCTCTCTCTCTAGCTCTCTCTGTGCCCTCTCTCTAGCTCTCCCTTTCCCCTCTCTCCCTCGCTCTATATTTCTCGCTCTCTCTTTCTCCTTTCTCTCTCTCTCTCTCTCTCTGTCTCTCTCTCTCCAGGTCACTTTCTCTCTCTCTCTCTCTCTCTTTCTCTCTCTCTATCTAGCTCTCCCTTTCTCCTCTCACTCTCTTTCTCTATCTCCCTCTTTCTCTTCTCACTCTCTTTCTCTATCTCCCTCCTTCTCTCTCTCTCTCTAGTTCTCTCTTTCTCCTCACTCTCTCTCGCTCTCTTTCTCCTCTCACTCTCTCTCTTTCTCTCTCTCGCTCTCTCCTCTCTCTCTCTCTCTCTCTCTCTCTCTCTCTCTCCACCTTCTCTCTCGTACGATCTATCTCTCTTTCATCTATAAGAGCCAAAAAGTTATCTCGCCTCCTGATGGGCTTGTAGCTTCAAGCAGATTTCAAAATACAAAATCGTAATAGTGAACTGCACAGTGTTTCGAACTGTCTACGCTGACCGAACCTCCTATTTGCTCATTGAATAAAGGATCATTAAAGCTGTCTTATGATCTCAGTGTCTTTTCTCAAAACTTACTCGGTGAGACAAATGTACATGATGTATAAAAAGAGGTTATGTTATGACTATCATAGACGTATTCTACACCTTTAGATCGCCAGCGTAATGGAGAGAGGGGGGGGGGGCGGTGCCTAAAACCAATCACATACGTAAACCGTGACTTGGACAGCGAGCGTTGATTTGCACAGGAATTGCTTCAGCAATTAACTAGACCAATAAGAGCTCCTTGAGCCATCTTTTTCAACACAAGAGCGAGCATTCGGAATAGTATGAACATAACCGTCCGAAGCGTTCGATCTAAAAATTTTTAAAAGCAAGCAGTCTGCACAAGAAATGGAATCCGTAAGGAGTTACGATATTACTATATGATCTGCTAAATGCTACTTTGTCTGGTAATTTGCTTTCAAAGAAACTACACTGAAATCAATTGAACTTCTTAAAATCTTTTCTCTTTAATTTGTCACGTTTATATGAATTTTGCGATCTTCTGACAATTTTTAAGTTTTTAATAACAATTACCTTTTCCGGAATTAACTGTTAATTTTTGATTAAATAAAAATGTAATCTTTCCTCGTTTTTCGTGAAATTTATAACGAGACCATTTGCCCTACGTTCGACGCGTGTACTCGTCGTTGCTTGATTTTATTTCCGCACTTTGTCGGGGACTGTTGAAACTAAATTTCGTAGTTAGAGGGTTAATGTTTCGTGATACTTATGAATGGACTGAGAATCTGATGCAAAATAAAAGTTGTCTATGACAATTACATTTAGAAATAGGAACTAAATAACGAATACATTCGTTCTTCGATTGATTTAATAGATTAAACGTGATACATCGATATTTGAAATCTTTTTAATCCTTCTACTATTTTAAATTTCATATAACCAATTTTGCCATAAAAGCATAAAATCCGCAGTCCACTTATGAATCACGTTATGTGCCGACATATAATTGTGCGAGATATAAAAAATGGTTATGTCATGTCTATCATAGACGTATTCCACACCTTTAGATCGATAAAGATCTGTTAAAAAAACTCCGAAAAAATGACCTTGATCATGTTTTTCAAGGTCAAATTTTTTTATGATTGCATCCTATTATACTTATTGAGAGGAGCAAACTTGCAAGAGGAACCACATATCCCAAAACAACCGTTTCGTTATAATTTAATGTTGCACATTTGCCGATTGAATTATTTATTTATTTTATTATTTACACTAACTTATACAGGGTGTAGCACATTACTGTCACCAGAATTTTTCAAGCACTTTCGACAGTCCAACAAAAATATGTTTCGAATGAATGTAAATTAATATTTAGTCGGCTACATATTGGAAAGTAACAAATGTCAAAAACTGTGGTTTTTCTACTAAAAGTCAAGGTCACCTTGACCGTTTTATGTGCCTCCCCGCATTTGTTACTTTGTAGGGTTATTGCTGACGGAAAAATGAATTGAACGACCTGCTATACTATGACCTTCAGATGATCTTCACTTCAACAATTTAGGTTTAAACAACAGAGATTGTTTATTATAAATCTGTCTTGAAAATTATGTTCTCTGAAACAATGGAGATTATCTCTGTACCAAAAAGAACAATTGTAATGGTTAATTCCGCCATTATTTGAAAGCTTCTGCGGGTTAAAGAATATCATGTTAAGTTATGTTGATGCTTGCAACTAATAGCAATTTGCTTACACGTCTATAATTGTGCTTCCAAGAAAATGGACTACACTTCGAGCACTTATTATAAATTGATTGAAATAAAATAGTTTTCGATATTAACTCTTTTGTTCTTCAATCCTAAATTGCTGAGGTCAGGGTCATCTGAAGGTCATAGTACAGCAGATCGTTGAATTCACGTTTTCATCAGCAATAACTCTACGAAGTAAAAAATGCAGGGTATCATTTAAAACAGTAAATTTGATTCTGTCTTTTAGTAGAAAAACAACAGTTTTTGAAATTTGTTACTTTCCAATATGTAACCGACTAAATACTAATTAACTTTCATTTGAAACATTTTTTTGTTAGTCTATCCAAAATGCTTGAAAAATCCGAGCCACCCTATCCACCTCGTATAAGTTACTACAAATGGGTTCCATTGGCAAATGTTGAACATTTAATTATAACGAAAAGGTTGTTTTGGGATATATGGTTCCTCTTGTAAATTTGCTCCTCACGATGAGTATAATAGGATGCGATTATAAAAAAATTTGACCTTGGAAAATATGGTCAAGGTCACTTTTGTGGAAAGTTTTTTTAACAGATCATTATCGATCTAAAGGTGTAGAATACGTCTATGATAGCCATGACATAACCTTTATATCTTGTACAATGTACATGGTGTCACACAATTATATGTCGGCACATAACGTGATTCATAAGTGGACTGCGGATTTTATGCTTTTATGGCAAAATTGGTTATTTGAAATTTAAAGTAGTAGAAGGATTAAAAAGATTTCAAATATCGATGTATCATTTTTAATCTATTCAATTAATCGAAGGATGAATGTATTCGTTATTTAGTTCCTATTTCTAAATGTAATTGTCATAGACAACTTTTATTTTGCATCAGATTCTCAGTCCGTTCATAAGTATCACGGAACATTAACCCTCTAACTACGAAATTTAGTTTCAAAAGTCCCCGACAGAGTGCGGAATTAAAATCAAGCAACGCACGCGCGCGCGCGAGAGAGAGAGAGAGAGAGAGAGACGAGTACACGCGTCGAACGTAGGGCAAATGGTCTCGTTATAAATTTCACGAAAAACGAGGAAAGATTACATTTTTATTTAATCAAAAATTAACAGTCAATTCCGAAAAAGGTTATTGTTATTAAAAACTTAAAAATTGTCAGAAGATCACAAAATTCATAAACGAGACAAATTAAAGAGAAAAGATGATTTTAAGAAATTCAATTGATTTCAGTGTAGTATCTTTGAAAGCAAATTACCAGACAAAGTGGCATTTAGCAGATCATATATCAATATCGTAACTCCTTACGGATTCCATTTCTTGAGCAAACTGCTTGCTTTTAGAAATTTTTGTATCGAACGCTTCGGATGATTATGTTCATATTGTTCCGAACGCTCGCTCTTGTATTGAAAAATGTGACTCAAGGAGCTCTTATTGGTCTAGTTAATTGCTGAAGCAATTTCTCCGCAAATCAACGCTCGCTGTCCAAGTCACGGTTTACGTATGTGATTGGTTTTGGGCAGCGAGCCCCCCCCCCCCCTCCTCCACAGTAGCGATACGTGGAACGTCACCATAAAATACATAACATTGGTATTGTTAATAGCATAGTATTGTTAATAGAAAGAATACACTGCCAAATAATATCCTTTTTATTGAAATTTGTTATTATTGAAATTTCGAGTTTTTATAGTCAATGGCTACTTTTTATTTTACAAGACGAGTAATACATTTCAATTAAGCTGCTATATTTATATGGATGTGGATATACTTATATCAATATCTATAAAATCAAGAATGTAGAATTATGTTACGATGGTCCCGATATACAAGGTGTTCCATAATTATGTTAACAGATGAGAAGGGGTGTTTCCTGAGGTCATTTGGTGTAACATTTTCCTTGGCGAAAATGTTCTGCGAGGCTTCGTTTACGAGTTATTAACGAAAAACACTGACCAATGAGAGGCGAGCTCGGCTGGCGCGAGGCGGCCGAGCCAACTAGCGGACGAAGCCTAGTTCCGCCCATAAGCTCGGCCACCACACGCCAGCGTATCTCGCCTCTCATTGGTCAGCATTTTTCGTTAATAACTCGTAAACGAAGCCGCGGGTTGCATTTTCGTTAAGGAAAAAGTTACTCCAAATGATCTCAGGAATCACCCCGTCCCGTCTGTTAACATAATTATGGAATACTCTGTATAATTTTATGACACCTTATACATTATTATCTTGTTGTTCAAGAATGAACAGATGCTACAAATGCATGAAAATTGTTACACTATTAACGAAAACAATTTTTATATCGCCCAAGAATTGGTAACAATTTAGCTATTTATATATGTATATATGTATATATATTATAATATTATAATATTATTATATATGTTATATTATTTTATATATATTATTTATTTTATAATTTTTATATCGCCCAAGAATATATATATAAATAGCTAAATTGTTAGCAATTCTTGGGCGATATAAAAATTATAAAATAAATAATATGTATAAAATAAAAAATATATATATATATAAATTAACAATAATCAGATTCAATTTCATTGCATAAAATAGGAAGAATCGTGCAGAATGGAAATACTCGAAAAAAATGTCTCGATATTGCAGTTGAAATAACTTAGAGTGCAAAGTGTAAAATATTCGTTATGCTAAAATCATTAGCGTTAAATGTGAAACGACCATAATAAGACAGTTTCGTTCAGCCAGTTACCATGTCTCGAAACACTGTGCCCTAGGGTGGACCTTGGCTACACTTGACAGCAAAATCTTCAAATTCCTTTTTGCGAGAATTCTAGAATTTATGGAGATTGTGTGAAACAATACACCGTGCGCAACTAAAAATTCATCGGGCAACTAGAATACATGCTGCATCGAATTTGGATATTTTATATTTCGGTGATTCGATTTAACGCTCGGATGGTGAAGAAGGGTTCTAAATTTCTAATTAAAAATTTGATTTCAATTTAATTTAATTTTTTCCCTTTCGATCAATTCGTTCCAATTAAAGCAGGATATATATATATACAACTATGACGAGTATAGGCAATATAGGGTAGCAATAAAGTATAAAGTAAACAAAAACAAACATTATATATTTTATATTATAATTATATATTATTATTACAAGATATTATTTAGTTTATTATTTTTCATTATTATTGATTATTATTATTATTTTATTATAAAATAAGATAATAAAATATAAAATATACTTACACTAACAAATATTCTACTCACATTCAAATTCGTTTTTAAAATATTACAACATTTTATCAGTTACAATGGAATTAAAAACACTGCAAACATAATTAGGATCACTCTGAATACATTATAGTCTCCTGTAAATTTTTTTGTTTGCTTCGTGACGCCGGGAAAAACTCTACCTCTTCACGCTGACCGTGTCAAAGTACCCAGCATCCACCATCCGATCCGCCATTCAAGCGTGAAACATAACGGCCGAAGCCAGAAAGAAGCCTGGCATCGACGCCCGGTCGGTAAAAATCGTAGCCCGGTCGGTAAAAGCAGTAAGGTCCAGCCCGCGCGAATCGAGGCGAGATAGGTTCGAGAGTTGTCGCGAGAGTCCGGGTTGGCGAGGATGCTAAAGAAATGCGGGGGTGGATGCACGGCAGCCATAGATCGGGACGACGGTGATTCGTCGGCGGGAAGCGAGTTCAGCGCGTCTGGTGGGACCGGTGGGACCGGAAGCTCCGGCGACTCGAACGGTTGGACCAGCTCGAAGAAGCTGAAGCGACCAAGGCGGCGTGGAGGATCATTGAGGCAGGAGTCATCCGCGGCGGTGTCTCGTTCCCGTGCTCGCGACCGACGCGAGCCTCCTCTGGCGGGGAAATCGGCGCCGCCGAGCATCCGGAGGCGGGCCGGGGGGGACAGGAGCGGCTGCGGCGGCGGTTGCGGCGCCGTTTGCGCCGGTGGTCAGTCGAGCAGCTCGGCCGCGTCCGCGCTGAACACCGACGCGAAGCGAACCGTCGCCAACGGCCTGAAACTCGCCCAGACGCAGGCGATCGCTGTCGCCGGCTTGTTCGCCGACGTCGAGTCGCGGCAATGCCGCGACTGCTCCACCTGCCTGCCTCATCGGGCCTCGTACCACGGCAGAGGTGACTAACAGACCCCGCCCACTGCTTCGCCACTCCGTTTAGACCCACACTTAGCTCCCTCCATCGCTTGTTCTTCAAACCGAAACATCTCTACCAGTCTGCTGGTTGCAATGGTTACGGTTGTTGTCCAAGATGGCGACAGCCGTTGCGATTGTCGTAGATAGTTACTGGTGTTTCTTTTTTTTTTTCTTCGAAGAACAGGACGATTTTTCCCGGACGATTCGTGCAGGTTGATTTATACGGGACGTATTATGACGCAAGCACGGTAAATTCTCCCTAATCGGCGCTCAGATTGCGCAGAAATTTGGAGAATTTGAGAAAAGGAGACGCGATTAAATTTTTGGGGCGTGTAAATTTTTAGGGGTTATTAGAGTGATTAGTTTACTAAAAAATTATTTTCAAAAATTGCAATCTGTTGGTACAATGAAAAAATTAAAAGATGTTTTTTTAAATTTTTTATCTGAGCTTAGAACGAAAATTTAATAAAAATGCATTTTGTCGATCTCGGTAATTTATACGGACGCTGAAAATTTCGTCCAAATTGGTCGACGCATAGTCAAGCTACAGCCACTGAAAGTTGTAAAAATTACTTGCTTTTGGTTGAAATTCGTGGAAAACCGCGTTTTTTAAATCTTCGTTATAGGTTCAGATAAAAAAAGTTAGAAAAACGTTATTTTTTCATTCTTTTAACGTGCCAACAAATTGCAATTTTGAAAATAATTTTTTAGTCATTGTTTAGTAAACTAATCCGTCTGTCATTCCAAAAAAATTTAGACCACGCGGTTAAATTATAAAAATTTTATTCTGTTTCAAAAGGTGTACGAATACTTTCTCTACACCCATCTGAGCGTCAATTAGAGAGAATTTACTGTATCCTGGTGGCGCATTTTAAGAAATAAATCGAAAAATGAAGTCGAGATAAATGAACACGAGAATTCACGAGGCTCGCGTGAATTCGAGTTTGCGAGAAATGCGATTGGTGGTCTATGGTCGAATATATCACGTGATTCCTATTTTATATTTTGGGGAGACCGGGGCTAGAAGTTTCGATTCTGAGAAAACGTAAAAATTGATTAGGAAATAATGTAGTTGCTTCTTTTCATTTCCGACTAATTTATTAAAATTATACTCTAAGATTGTCAACTCAAATATAATTGATTGCAATAAGCTCTTCATAGAAACTCGCTTTTTGTTGTGGTCAACTCAAGCGGAACTTCTTAACCGCACATGTGGCACTGTATACAAATATTTTGGTTATACAAGGTGTCCCAAAAAAGTCTCGCAATCCGAAAATGGGAGGTTCTCGAGGTTATTTGAAGCAACTTTTTCCTTAGCGAAAATGTTCTGCTTGGCTTCGTTTACGAGTTATTAACGAAAAACAGTGACCAATGAGAGGCGAGATCAGCTGGTGCGCGGTGGCCGAGCCAATCAGCGGAACTGAGTCTCGCGCGCTCGTTGGCTGGGCCGCCTCGCGTCAGCCGAGCTCGCCTCATTTCAACGCCCTGTGTTACAACCGTCATCGGTCTTCCCAATAGTCTTAAAAAGTAGAATCGGTAGACCATGATCAGACCACCCACCGGTTTATCTCTTTTTCATATTTTCGATTTATCGGGAAACGAAAAAATATTATTTTCTTTCGACTCATTTTTACAATTAAATTCACTATTCAGCCTTTTGTGCCATAATTTCAAAGACACTCTGTATTATCTTTATTTAACAATGCTTCTGTATCGGCACCATTGCAATTTAGCCACGTGTATCGGAGTTATCCGACGAGTCATTGAACAGAAAGTAATTCGCAAAGGCGCACCGTGTCAACTAGAAATCTTGTTCAAAGTAACTCTCGAATTGCCTACAATAATTTCATTATCGTTATACGAACGAACTTGGTGAAGCGAGTACATACAGGGTGTCCCAAAAATGTCTCGCAATCCGAAAGTGACAGGTTCCTCGGGTCATTCGAAGCAACTTTTTCCTTTACAAAAATGTTCTCCGAGGCACCGTTAACGAGTTATTAACGAAAAACAGTGACCAATGAGAGACGAGCTCGGCTGGTGCGAGGCGACCGAGCCAATGAGCGGAACTGGGCTTCGCGCGCCGGTTGGCTGGGCCGCCTCGCGTCAACCGTACTCGATTCTTATTGGTCACTGTTTTTCGTTAATAACTCGTTAACGGTGCCTCGGAGAACATTTTTGTAAAGGAAAAAGTTGCTTCGAATGACCCGAGGAACCCGCCATTTCCAGATTGCGAGACATTTTTGGGACACGCCGTATAATGTATATATGACATAACCTTTGCCACTGTTTCGACAAGTTGACTGCGCAGAACGTACATGTATACATCAACCGAAATCCAAATCCCCGCAGGTTCCTTCGAAGCGACACGAAAGATTCGATCCCTCGACTCACAGTTTGATTCTTTTGCGCACGCACACGCACGCAACTAACGCACTAAACGCACGCACCGCGCCGCACCGCATCCGCTTTTTCTTTGCTGCACGAACCGCGCGATGCAACGGAACGCCCCGATGCGACGCCGACGCACGCAGACTCGAAGAGAGACACGGATGGGACGAGGCGTGTTTACCGCATGACGACGCTCTCGCTCGAAGCATGCGTTCTGCCGAGCGGTTCGCTTAACACCGTTTGACTTGGCTTTAATGAACGCGTGCTAACACCGCACGGAGAAAACCGCTTTCGGTATATCGGTGTGTCGGAGCCGAATCGGTTAGTGGCAGAGCGTATCGCGACGAGCGAAATCCCTTGATGGCCTCTCCTCGTTCATCAGTTTCCTGGCCCGGAGAGAGTAACGGAAGCATCGGCGCAGAGCGCCTCTCCCACAGCCTTCCCGGAAGCCCCGCGGATCGGAAGCCGAACTTCGAGGTGATCGGAAGCGCGGAGAGTCTCGTCGGTCGGGTGAGTACCAACGTCGACGAAAATATCAACTTTCTGGAGCGCGGATACCCGGCCGGTCGTTCTTTCATTATTTTTCCGCTCCAAGCAAGTGGAAGAAGAATCTTGATACAATTTTCCAGCAATTTTTTCGCGCTGTTCTAACCGAATGAATTTCGTTGGCAAGAAAGTAATTTCGGTTTGCATCGATAGATAGCGTTATGTTTGCATCGTCTGAACTAAACGGAATATAGGAAAGATATTCAGCGCCAATAGTCGCCGTACGGTCGGGTAAAACCTCAATGGATTGCTTATTTGCGTATATTCAAAAGTTAAGAAAGTAACAGTCTCGCGGAGTAAATGTACCGCACCTTCAAGAGAAACTTAATGGAACCTGGTCGCTGATATCTTCTAGCAATCGAAAATACCATTTTCTCGTAGCTGATTTCTTCGATGCTATTTCGAAATCTACTGGAAACACGCGTTTATTATTGGCTTGGCAAGAAAGTAATTTCGGTTCGCACCGATAGATAGCGTTACGTTTCCATTGTCATTCTTTTGTTACGGTTATAAAAGTGGAATCTTGTTTCTATTTCATTGTTTTAAGTTGGCAAGAAAGAAATTTCGGTTTGCAGCAATAGATAGCGTTACGTTTGCATTGTCATTCTTTCGTTGAGGTTATAATTTGTTTGCTTCGGCTTTGATAGCTGACACGTTCAGGTTACTATAGAAACAAATTCCGTGTAGTTTTGTTTACAACTGACAGTAAGAAGTGACGTCGCATCTTCCATATAGCCCCGACCTTGCACCGTCGGATTATTATTTATGCGGAATCACGAAATTCACAGAAAGATGGCATCGAACAGAATAGAAAATATTTGGCCGATTAAACTTTATTTCTTGTATAGAAAAAATTGAATTTTATTTCACGTTGAAATACCGAAATTACTTTCCCGCCATTCCGATAGATGGCGAATGCAATCCCGATTAGTCTTCAAAGGTGTCAGAAACACTCGCTTTCATGGTATTTTTCAATCAAGAACTTTGTTAAGCTATTGTTTATAGAAATTGTATTAAACACAAAATGCTACCGCGAGTAGAGCGCGTGATGCATTTATGTCGAAAATTACTAAATCATGTGCAAAACAGTAAATGTATTTGAATAATATAGAAACACTTTTTTATGATCTTCATGCCAGTAAAATTATCAGAGCGAACGAACGCCTGTGCAGCTGCTGTACCTTGGAATCGATGCGGACGATTTTTTTATTTGAAAGTAATAGTTACTTCGCTCATTTACATTATACAAATAATGCAAGTGCTAGAGTAAATCCGAACTGAATATTGTACAGAATATTCTGTCGCGTATGAATTGATTCGAATAGTACAGTTAACACTTGCCACACTTAAAAATCACTTTCACTAAATTGATTTGTAAGATATATGTTTGCAACGTTTTTTCCTTGAGGTTATAATTTCTTTGTCTCCGGCTTTGATAGTTGACACGTTTAGGTTAGGTATAGAAACAAATTCGTGTAGTTTTGTTTACAACCGATAGTGGAAAGTGATGATTGCACCATCGGATTATCATTTATTTCGAAGTTTACAAAACTTTTTAAACGGTAAAAATTTCAATAATAACGGTAGTCTCGAATCGCACTTGACTGAATGTTTTACTGATAAGGGCCAGAAGTTTTATGACCGCGGAATCATGAAATAACCAGAAAGATGATAAAAGGTCATCGAACAGAACGAAAGATATTTCTGGAAAACATTTATTTATAATATATATATATTTATGAAAAACATAATATATAATATTATATTATATAATTATATATATTAATTAATAATTAATTAAATAAAATAAATAAATTAAATATTAATTAATAATTATATATATATATATATTATATAATATTATATAATATAATACAATATATTATTATACAATATTTATGAAAAACATTTCTTCTATAGAAAAAATTCAGTTTCATTTCACATTGAAATACCGAAATTACTTTCCTGCCACCATCATAGAACGTTCTTGAAATTTACGAAACCGCTGAACGAATATGAATCGATGTTGGACCGGGTATCCCCTGAAAGTAAATGTATCCAAATATATTATATACAGGGTGTCCCAAAAATGTCTTGTAATGCGGAAACGGTGATTTGAAGTAACTTTTTCCTTATCGAAAATGCATTTGAGGTTAAGTACGATAATAAATACCGAATAAATACGATAATATTGGACACAAGTTTTCAGAGTTAGTTCGATAATTGAGCCGTATATAGGGTGTCCTAAAATTGTGGTATTTTCTGCCAAATGAGGAGTTGAGATGATTTGAAACAACTTTTTCCTTATCGAAAATGCATTTGAGGTTAAGTACGATAATAAATACTGAGTAAATACGATAATATTGGACACAAGTTTTCAGAGTTAGTTCGATAATTGAGCCGTATATAGGGTGTCCTAAAATTATGGTATTTCCTGCCAAATGAGGGGTTGCTGAGGTGATTTGAAACAACTTTCTCCTTATCGAAAATTTAATCCGCGGCTTCGTTTACGAGTTATCGACGAAAAACCTGGACCAACCGGAGAGCGAGTGCGGCCAGCGCTCCGCCCTTGTGGCCAATCCCGCGTCGCGTCGGCCATATGACGCAGCGGCGGTGGTCGCGAGGGCGGGGCGTCAGCCGCGCTCACTCCCCGATTGAACAATGTTTTTCCTTAATAACTCGTAAACGAAGCGGAGAATTGAATTTTCGCAAAGGAAAAAGTTGCTTCAAATCACCTCAGCTACATTATATAATATATCCGTCGCCAATATATCCAAAACCTTATTGCACGTTGCGTTGCAGGTGCTCGTGGAGCAAGGTCTGGGCAAGTACTGCGACCCGGACTTCGTGAGGTACACGTCGAGGGAGATGCAGGAAGCGTTGGACATGACGCCGGAAGAGATGGACCGAGCGGCTCACCAGCTGCTCCTGCAGGAGCGACGGGGTCAGTCGTTGACATACCAGCTGCAGCAGGCGACAGGCGACCCTCAATGGACGCCGCCTTATCAGCCTGTAGGTCAGCAGCCTTCAGGCATCGGGTACCAGCCTTTGCAGGAGCAACAACCGGCCGGTCCGCGACAGTACCAGTACTATCGCGGACAAGCGCCTGGTCCGCATCCACCCCCGCAACAGCAACCGCCGCCCTCTTAGCGATGCGACGATCCTCCTGCCGGTTCTTTTTCTAGCTCCGACGTGTAGCGAAGAAACGACAGGAGGCGACGAATGAAAGGTAGTCAGTCCAGTCAGTCACAGGTCCCTGGGATCTATGGTCGCAACGTCCAACGTCCGTTTCCGCTTCCCTCGGAACGCCCGGGAAGCGTGTAGGACAGCGAAGAAGCCCTCGGGCGAAAATCGTCGGCGAGCCTTCGACGAAGAGAAGAACTCCGATGCGCGGAACAAGAGAACGATGGGTTTTGACGCAAGCAATAAAGCAACGAGAGCAACGACCGGCGTCCATAATCGCGTCTTTCGTACCCGGGGAAAGGGCCGTTTTTGTACTCCGCGGAGAGACCCAGGGCGGAAACGCCGGGCGGTCGAAGGTTGCCGATCCCGGTTCGCCGATTTTTCCTCCCCTCCCGCGATTCCGACGTAATCGGACGGGAACGGCAAGGGCCCGGATCGGGTGTAAAAAGCGAGGTGCGTTCGAAGTTCCAAATAGTCCGGTTTCGGATAGAGAAACGACGGATTCGAGACGCTTCTCGAAGACACGATAATCGAGATTCGCGCGGGTTTTAACGAATCCTTCCGCGCTTTCTCATTCTTATCGTGAAACCACACTCTCACACCACAGAGACACATGTACACACACGGATATATAAACAGAAGCCACAGAGAGACAGACATATTTACACGGACACGCGGCTACGAACACACACACACACACACACACACACACACACACACACACACACACACACACACACACACACACACACACACACAGAGAGAGAGAGAGAGAGAGAGAGAGAGAGAGAGAGAGAGAGAGAGAGAGAGAGAGAGAGAGAGAGACAGACAGACAGACAGACAGACAGACAGACAGACAGACAGACACGTACACGATTATTCCTTCGATTTACCGTTGTTAGGTATAAGTCGAGAAACTCGTTAAATTGCTCTTCGTACGATGGATTCTAGATGAGATAACAAGTGCCTAAGTATCTGTAACTTTTTTCGGACCAGAGAAGAGACTTTTATCAACTTAGAACGAAGTACCGTTTACCGCGAATTACAAAAGCGAGTTGCGTGTTGAGTGTGTACGCTACCGATACTTGTAAACGATATTATAGATAATTATTATATATTCGTATGTAATTGTACAATTGCATAAGCTGAGCTCGTGCGCGCGCGCGCGCGCAAGGATGAATGGCCGATAAAACGGACGCCACCGGCGAGAGATCATTCTCTCGCCTTTGTATAGCCTAGGTTGTGTCTGCGCGAGAACCAACGGAGGCTCTGAACGACAACCAATTCCGGAAACAGCCTGAGAGAAGCGAAACGAGATCTCGCTCGTGTCTTCAGCTTCTTTCTAGCTTTACCATTCGCGATCGATCGGAAAAACGGAACTCGCGCTCGAAACGCGGTCGGCCCGATCTCGGCACACGATCGATCACAAGAGCGTGTAAACTATTGGGAACTGGAAAATTGGCGGCGGAGACGGTACGGGGCAACGGTACTTAAATTATTATTCACGCGAGAACGAACGAAATAAGTCATATTCACGCACAGTACTTAAAATTTTTCTGTTTACGAACGTCGAAAGCGATTACTGCGATGAACTTATGTGTGTGCCGACTGCCATCTTCTCAGTTTCTAATCGAGTTCCGTAGAGTTATTCGAATCGATCGCCACTTTTCACGGACAACCGACGATCTTTTCTACCGAACGCTCCGACGACGACGATTTTACTCTTCCCTTCCTCCTCCGTTCCCCCATTTTAGACTCGATTTTTACAAATTACCTCCCTCCCTCCCCTCAACCTCACCACCAATCCCCCACTCCAACGAAATTTCAAATCGTGTGCACAGAGTGACCCATACCACCGTCCATAAGGGAGAAAAATGATTTCGTAAGAGGCAGGCGTGATTGTCAAAATTGATTTGAAAACAAGAAAATGATACTTTATGGAATTTGATCATCGCAAAAGAACGAGCACTTTGAGAAGGTCACAAATTCTGAGAATAACGTGCAAATATTTGTGTTATTCTATTCAACGTTAACAATACTTTTGCGTGACGAATACTGTAATGTAATGTTTCTCTAATTGGCGCTCAGATTGCGCACGAAAATAGACAATTTAGGAATAGGAGACACGATTCTTCGAGTCTCGAGGCACATTTATATGGTTGCCGATTTGTCAACAATTATAAAAACGAGGTGCAAGGCTCGAATAGTTATCTCCTGTTCTTATAGCTCGAATAGGCATCTCCTGTTCCCAAATTGTCCATTTTTGTGCACAATCTGAGCGTCAATAAGGGAGACATTACTGTATCCACAAAATTGGATAATTTTGGAAAAGGAGATACGATTGTTCGAACCTCCTTGTCGCTCGTTTTTATAGTTGTTGACAATTCGTAACTATAGAAACGAACCGCAAGGCTCGAATAATCATATCTCCTGTTCCCAAATTGTCCTTTTCTGTGTACAATCTGAGCGTCAGTTAGAGAGACATTACTGTATTTAGTGCAACACTTGAGTAAACTTTCGTAATTCTCCACTTTAACCTCTTTAATGTTTCTTGAGTCGATCGATTGTTTTCCAGCCGAATAAACAGCTTTCCTCGCGAAGTTTGATCGAAACGCAAAATTAAAATATTTCAATTATTTACAACTTCGGCGATTGGTTACTTGATTTTGAGGTTAAGACGGCGGCATTTGTTCGGGATGGGTTGCTGAAGGTGGACTTGCAGTACGGGGCCATTCTGGGCACGCGCACATATATATATATATATATATATATATATATATATATATATATATATATATATTCTTGTAGCTGCCAGCGTGTGTGCGTGAAAGCGGAAGAGAGAAAGAGTGCGCGCGTGTTTGCGAGACCGTTCGGAGCGGAATGCGAGATATAGCACGCGACTGTCCGCTACCGGAACCTCCTCCCAACTGTTTCTCGAGTCGATCGGGAGAGTGACGGCCGCCGTTTCCCATTCGCTTAGCATAGCGATCGGAGTCGGTATCGTCGTTGAAACGAAGCCGAACGAACCGATCTTAAAAACGGGCGTGGTTCTGCCGATGTTTCACCGACGACGATTCGCAAGTAGCTTACTTATCCGAGGGCTCGTTTAGCCGCAAACTTAGCGTTGAACGACGCGTTGCCGGTATTCCTTGACGATCATATGTTTTGCAGCGGGGAACATGCGAACGAGTTCTCCGAGCCGCGCCGCATTTTCATTCGAGAAATCTCGCGTCCCTCGAGTGACCTCCACTGTTCGGGGCCGTTCAACTTCTTCTCCCTCCTCTTCTTCTTCTTCTTCTTCTCGCGTATACCTTGAAACGACGTTGACAATAATTCTCATCGATGACATTCTCAGAACCACGCGGGTTCCGGAGCACCTCTCGCCGCCTTTTTTCAGTCGTTCGCGTTCTCCACCTTCGACTCGTCGCAGACATCGTCGTGTCCCCTCCTCCCCGTTCGCCTCACCTTACGCCCCCCCCCCCACGATTTTCCTTTGTATTAAAAACGCGCGCCGATTTATCTAGGGTGTAAGAAGCGTCGCGAGAGCCGCGACTGACGCGAGCCCTTCGCCGATTAAATAGGGAACCAAACAAACCTGACAACTGTTCCACGAACTAACGAAGCGATTCGAACGTTTCTGACGCGGTAATTTACTTACTCGTGCTACGATCTGTTGGACGAGGCGAGTCGACGAAGACGAACAAGCTGTGCGCGTTTCTTCCCGCCCAAATCTGCTTGATTGTTGGCTTAACCCTTTCGGCGACCTTTCGATTGTCACGAAACTGCTGCTGCAATCAACGAAAATATGATACTGTTTGTATAATACTTACAACCTCTGGCGGAGATGTTTAATCGAAATCGTGGCGCGCGAAAGAATAATCGAGCTTTCATTGGAATCGAAAATATATATATATATACAGGGTGTATAGAGGTCCTTGATGTCATTTGAAGCAACTTTCTCCTTAGCGAAAATGTTCTGCGAGGCTTCGTTTACGAGTTATTAACGAAACAACAGTGACCAATGAGAGACGAGCACGGCCGGCGCGACGCGACCCAGTCAACGAGCGGTCGGAGCTCGGTTCCGCTCATTGGCTCGGCTGGCGCGACGCGGTTGAGCCAACGAGCGGATGACGCTCAGTTCCGTTCATTGGCGGCTCGGCCATCTTGCGCCAGCCGAGCTCGCCTCTCATTGGTCAGCGTTTTTCATTAATAACTCGTGAATCGTGCCTCAGAGAAAATTTCTGTAAAGGAAAAAATTACTTCGAATGACCTCAGGAACCCCTCATTTCCCGGAAGTACCATAATTTTAGGACACCCTGTCTATGTATAGACTATATACCATGCAATGGCAATATTAAAATAGCGATCGCGATTGCCGAATGAAATCACTATCGAACTATCTCCGTTTGTATGTTACAAAAGACCAAACGTATTCATCTTTGTACAAACATTTTCTCTGTGTGCGCAACAAGGCTAATCGTCGCGTTTGATTTAATCGGTATAAAAACATGTTTCAGATCGAATACAAGAACGGTCCGAACGATGGACGTTCGATTCGCTCGATCGAATACATTTTGCTAAGAGTGTATAACAGAATAAAGCGAGAGTACTGAACTTTGATTAGAAGCGACAATTTATATGATGCAAAATGGTTCAGCGAGCAGGCACTATGATCACAATTTCAACCTACCAGTTTCGGTTTTCTTAATCAAATCGCTGCGATTATTCGAACCGTTTCGGCGCGTTTCGATTAGAGCGATCGAAGGATGAACAAATAGAAAGTCGCCGGTCTTGTGCGCCTGCGTCGGCTCGTCTCGTCGGATGGAACACAGAGGTGTGCGTACGTGTATGCGTGTGTGTGCGTGTGTGAGAAGAGCCGAGACATGATCGGGGATCAAGACGGGAGAGTGGAAGCCGAAAATGAAGCTTGAGGAGCGACAACCTCGGGACGCAATCCCGAACACATTCAACAATCGTCCCGGGACTATGCTGCTCGTATGTCGTACACGCATCGTACTCGAACCTTTCGTATTCATTTTTATTCCAGCGTCTTTCTAATGGTTACGCGCGTTTGTCTATACGGCGGTCTTTTTATACTGTTGTAAAGCGACGTTTACACCCCAAGAACCGTGCTAGGATTATTGCGCGTGAGCGAAAACTCGACATAACCTACAAATCGTGATCAACGAACTCTGTGCGGCGCTTCGCAGTCTCGTCGCGCCGGCGTCGCGAGAGGGAAAGAAACTCGTTATAAAATCGCAGAACAATTTTTCGACAACGGAGAGAACTTGCGGAGAGTTTGCGATCGCATTCGAGAGATTGGCCAACCAATCGGGACACGGCAGATCGCGCGGCGAGACTGCGTCGAGCACGGGAGATCAACGGTTATGGCAATTCCTGCGTCCTGATCTTTTGAGGGTGATCATGAAAAGTGGGACGACGAAGAAGCTTAGGCTCTCACACACACGCCACTCTCTCCCTTGTTTCTGTTAAGACTTTCTTCTATGTACAGACGCGGTGCGACTGGCTTTTTCCTCTCTTCGTTTGGAAAGACATAACCTATTCTGTATGTTCCGACGATGGCCGCCGCGTGTGTCCCAGAACGTGGCCGGTCTAGTTCTCCCTACGTTTTTGCTTCCGTTTCTTCGCCGATTCGTTCACACCCGAGAAACAGAACCGAAAGCCGAAGGTGAAATTTGTCAAAAAGCTGCTTCCCTGTGATCGGGATTTTCGTTTATTGCGGTATATACAGGGTGTCCCAAGAATGTCTCGCAATCCGAAAGTGGCGAGTTCCTCGAGTCATTCGAAGCAACTTTTTCCTTTACGAAAATTTTGTCAGAGGCACCGTTAACGAGTTATTAACGAAAAACAGTGTCCAATGAGAGGCGAGTTCGGCTGGCGCGAGGCGATCGAGCCAATGAGCGGAACTGGGATTCGCGCGCCGGTTGGCTGGGCCGCCTCGCGTCAGCCATACTCGATTCTTATTGGTCACTGTTGTTTCGTTAATAACTCGTTAATGGCGCGTCGCAGAACATTTTTGTAAAGGAAGAAGTTGCTTCAAACGATCCGAGGGACCCGTCATTTCCGGATTGCGAGACATTTTTGGGACACGCTGTATGTTAAGAGGGATAATAACAGTAAAAGGCGATTGCGGTGATCTTGAAAAGAAATTCACGAGCGTGATTACTTATCAAAAGATTTATTTAAACGACGTTCTTTAAACGTTCTTTCAGCTATTTTTTGCCGATGAACCCGTGAGGAAGTAGTTTTTTCCACAGATTCACCTGTTAAGTTTCAGTGGTCATGAATGTTGCGCTGTACGAGGAAGTATGATTTTTCGTTAAATTTTCGACGAGTTTAACAAGTAATTCGTGCGAACTATATAAATGAGTATAAACGAGTTCCGTATTGTTCGGAAAAATGATGCAATTTTAATGGCCACTACGAGAATGCGCGACAACGCGAACCATATCGCGATCGATCCTAACGATCTAACCGATGACGATCCCTCGATTTTCTTTTGGACTGTACTCCGTTCGAGTTCGAATCCCCCGGCGCGTTATCTGCAATAGCATCAGTTTACGGGCAGTTCTTATTTTCTAAACAACAATTTTAGTTTCCAAAGTTCTCGTCATCTTGTTCCATTCAATTATTAAAATTGAATTATATATAATATATATATATATATTATAATAATATATATATATATAATATCATTATATATATATTATATATAATATTATATATAATATATTATATTTTTTATATTATATTATTATATACTATATTATATATATAATTGAATTATTATTATTATTAAGTTATTATTTATTATTATCAAGTTCCTAAATATTTCCGCAAGCTTTTAATCTTGCTACCGTCATTTAATTTACAAATGCATAGAATTCGCGTGTTTCTCGTTAAGGCCATTACCGCTGAAACATCGATCAATCTTCAGCCGTGTTTACAGATCCCAGAAAATCGTTGACCGCCATCTTGCGTTAACAGGAAATTCGTTGAACAGTAGTTAATTCGATCGCTGTCATGGTTCGTCGTTTATGTTTGAGAAGTGAGACCGAATATTGTTTGACCGCCTCGAATGGGGATTTGTTCGGGGATTTAAGAATGGTTGTTGCTCGTCCCCGATCGTGGAGGGAGCGAGCACGCCTTTTGTCGCACATTCACACGATTCTAGTCCGTTAAGCAATTTTACAGTGGTAAGGATCCCGATGCACAAACCAACAACGGACACGCACACGTCATATATACTGCCGGTTTTCTGTTCGATCGTCCCCACTTCCTGTTGCTTCTCGCGCCCGAGTCAGAGAGAGACAGACCAGACACCCTCTTGTTCAAACACTTTGTCACCAACGGTCCATCATCGATTTCCAATTCATATTTAATTATTTCTCCCGAGAGACGGCAGTGGACAATGAAATCGCATCGTCCGTTAAAGACACAGTTCTTCGAGCGTTACAGAGCAGCGAATTCTTCTAACCTTAAAATTACAGAGCGCACAGCAAACAAATTCGTATTCTCTCTAAAAAAAGAAAAAATGTTACATTTCTTCGTGTTTTACATATTTTCTATTATACATAATCTGCGCTTCGAAATTAATAAATTTGTAAAAGACCGTCTATACGTATAATACAAAAATCTTCGTCAATCATTTTGAATCGATTCGGTAGTTTCCAACGATTCAAGGTGACAAAAAAGCACTGTTTATCTTCAACAAGGTGCAACTTCTGCATCCACTGCTGCAGCATAATTACCGATGCGATTTAAAATTAGGGCACACGGCAAAGCGTTAACCCGTTTACAGCGTGTCGAATAACGACTTTCGACGAATTTCGCGAGGGAAGTGTTCGACCCTCGAACAGCGCCAGAGTCACTTTTGACACGTGCCAGACTTTCGAACGTGAAACAAGGTACTTTGCAATAGATCAAACGGTGAAACGCGTGCGCGACCGAGACGTGGGTCACGGGTGACCCGAGCTGGCCGAGGGTTCGATATGAAAACGATGAGAAGTTCCACCGGCACTCGATACGATTTCTTTGAATTTTTGTACTCCGGTACTTTCTGGTGTCGCACAATCCCGGAACGTGAATTGAACAGTTCGGAACATGAATCTTGCTTCGGAGAGACGATGGTTGTTGGGTGGACGAGGTAAATTGATCGATCGTCCGTGTTCCTCCGAACGGAATTGAGGAACGAGGCAACCGCCGCGAGTCGGCGTTCCGAAATCGACTCGCGAGCCGACTTTAAGCTGTACAAGATCGTTACATTTTGAATCATTCATTTCTCGTCTCAATCGGTTCATTTTCTTCTCTTCTCTTTCTATTTCTCGCGCCGCGACGAACTTTTATTTTAGGATCCGTTTCGATTTTTTTTCAACCGGAGAAAAACGAAACCAAGGCGAAGAGAAAAACGCTATGATTTTCGGCGAAGCAGAATTGTTTAAGCGCGGGAAGAAACATTCGAACGACGTTTTTTGCGCGCAAAACACACACACAGATATGTACGTGCATGCGATTTGAAAAAAAAAGAATGAACTGCATGGACCACAACGGTATTCCGCTGAATAGAGACGAAGAGAAAAATCACGTGAAAACTAACAGAAAAAATTGTTGTTGTTAATGTTGTCAGAAAATGTGTCAAATTAAAATATAAGGATTTCAAACATCCAACGGTGTTTCACTAATATGTTATGCTCGTGTTTTGAAGATCTTCGAATCACATCACTCGTCCTTTATTTATACAGTACTTGATTGCGCGCGGGTTTCGTCGCGATACCGTATTTTACATTACTTACAAATATAGGCGTTTGTTTTTGTCTCTCGATCGGAGAGAGAAAGGAATCAGAGGCGAACAACGAGAACGAACAAAATAGAAACGGAGTTTTATTCTCATGCACGCATCTCGTACACCCGGGGACGAACAAGCGAGCCGGAACGAAGAGAAAGACCTTTTTGTTTTTCTTCCATGCGGTTTAACGATTGCCATGAAGAGAATTGTACAGTGGTGTGACTAAGTGCAGGCGATTGTTTCGACGCGTGTAAGTAGCGGAAATTGGTTCCTAAAAGACTGTGTTGTCAACGAACTGTGCACGCACGGACTAAAAAGCAAGGCACAGGTATATACAAACGGCTGGGCGCGTCTTTGTTTCTTTTTGTCGGTGAAAGCTAGAATTCATCTGTTTCTTTCAAACACAACGAACAAGTTCCTACGCGACGTGATCCGCGGGAGTCGTCTGAATCCGAGTTTAGAATAAGTTAAAAAATGAATTTCCAGTTTAAACGATGGACTACTATTATTTCATCACTTGCGCCGCCTTTTTCGCTTTGACCAGCTCCACCAGCTCCTGCAAAAGCCATTTCGTTATATTACAATTTGAATAAACGTGTGTTTCTTTTGTTTTTCTTTTTTCTCTTTTCTCTCACCTTGTATCTCCTGACGCACTCCTTTTTCGTTCTAGTCGGTATGCACGCGGCGATTTGGTCCCACCTATCGGGCACCGTGGTGGGATAGGTTTTCAGAGCCTGCTCCAGCAGCTTCTGTTCGGCCGGAGTCCAAGGCTGGGGTTCCTTCTTGGTTTCCTTTTGCTCCGCCGAGATCCCATTAGCCATAGGATGATCGAGGCGCTCCGTAACCGCCGGCATCCGCTCCTCCACCGACTCCTTGGCCTTTTTCTCCGCGATGAAATTGTCGAAGGCCTTCTTGTTCGCCTGCTCCTTCAAGCTGGACTTGCTGAAGTCCGTGGACTGCAGGTCCTTGGCTTTCGCGAGGACTTCTTTCGCGTCGCGAGTCACTCCGGCCGTGGAGCTGCTGTGTTGGTTGATAAAGTTAGCGACCACCTCCCAGCGCTGATTCGTTCCGGCCGGGAACAGGTTCACCGCCTTGATCAGTAGCTGAAGGTCGTTCTCGTTCCACGGAGCCGTGTGAGACTTCACCTGCTTCTCCGGCGTATTCCTCGTGTCATTCGTGGTGAAGCCTATCCTACGCTCCGCCTCTATTCTCTTCTCGGTGTCCTTCATGATGTCGATGAACGCCGGCCTACCCTCCGCCTGCAGCTTCTTCATCGCCTCCTCCAGCTGGACCAGCTTGAACAGCTCGCAGATCTTCTCCACGCTTTCCATGTGCCTGATGCTTTCGGCCGCGTTGTTCGCGAAGTAGTTGTTCGCTTTGCAGAAATCCCTGATCGCTTTCCTCTCTTTGCGAAGCGCCTTCTTCAGCGCCTCCCTCTCCTGCTTCAGTGCCTCCATCTTCGCTTTCTCCTCGCTCTCTCGCTTCTCCTTCTCCAATCGCTCCTTCTCCGCCGCGTCCCTCGCTATTCTCTCTTCCTCCTGCTGTCTGGCCTTCGCCGCGTCCTGCTTCGCCTTCTTCACCGCCGTCTTCTTGTCCTTGTCGTCCTGCTGGAACTTCTTTATCCTCGGGTCGGTATTGTAAGCCATGTGGACCAGGCCACGTATACGAGCCATTTCCTCCTTCTTCCGCTTCGCGCGTGTCGCTTTGTTCTTCTTTTCGATCCACTTGCGCATATCTCGACTGAAAGAAGGACACAAAAGTAAAACAGGATATAGAATAGAACTGACATTTCATATAATTTGTAATAAACACTTGGCGAAGCTAAAACTTACTCCTGTCCGCTTTCCTTGTCCTCCTCGTCCAAGTAGGAGTATTCGCGCCATGACTCGAAATCGTACCAGAAAGAGTAAAACTGTTCGACTTTCGCTCTAGGTGTATCCGGCCCACCTAACCGCGGTACCGGCTGCTTCACAGACCATCTGGCATTGTCCCTGAACGCTTTACCCATCGCCATGTAGAAGTTGGTTTTACAGTCTTTCTCGTCTGGCAAGTCGTCGTTAAAGTACGGGTCTACGCTGTCGTAGCTCTTCCTCTTGGCAACGTTGCCCAGGGTCTCCCACGCCCTCGTGATGCAGGTGAAATAATCGTCGTCCCGCCGGATCTCCTCTCCCAGCGCCTTTCGTTTGTCCGGATGATGTTTCAGGATCTTCTGCTTATCTGGAATTCACCAACGGAATACTTCTAAGCCACCTTAATCATAGCACCTGGCAAGACAGCGAACGATATAACACCTACATTCCTTTACAGAGTATACTTTGAACTTTCTTTACGTACAAGCCCTTTTAATAATCTCTTCGGTCGCTTTGTGCCTGACTCTTTTCAAGCCTAACACGGCGTAATGATCTTGGTCTTTCCACTCCTTTGGGTCCAACGACCTCAAGTACTCTAGGTCATCCTCGAACTGATAATTGGAAAGATCTTCTTCGTCCGACGACTCCGTTATCATGTATGGCTGTGTAATGCTCCGATAAAACTGTGCTTGCCATGCTTGTGCTGTAGAATAAAGAACCAGCGGGCCGGCCGTACTTGTCTCCGCTTTCGACGAGTCTGCAATTTATTTTCAATTAATTCTCCCCGTCGGGTTCGATCACTTATTCGTAATGGTATGCGTTCCACGCGTGCTTGCATCTATGTACGTGCACACGCGAAAATGTACTATAGCTCGGAACCGCGTGGTATATATGAGAGCAACGAGATATTCAGAGTTTTAAGGTCACCTCTACAAAATTCTGAACGCGATGTTTCACGCTTAAAATATCCTCAATTTACCCATATTCCCGGAAACGAGAACCTTCGCGGGAACCAGCTGTCGAACGAATCTATTTCAAACGGTATCACGAATATCCTTTTGTGTGAGGAAAACCGTTGCGCTTCGAGGGAACCTAACCTCGAACGACCGGTGTCAAAACTACGGAGGCGATTCCGAGCGAGAAACTTTACCAGATATCGTGTTGAAGGCAGTGGTGTCATCGTTGCCCGTGCCGTCTGTCATCGTTCACTATCAACGACTTCTAATTCCCACAGAGAAACTACTAGAAAAGCCGCAGCGAAAACATAAGCGATCGAATGCCACCGCGCTGCGAACAGTTCAGGAAGAACGAGCGGGCACTGCAAGCTGCACAGATGTACGATATATTAGAATAAATACTGACTACGCGACCCGAAAACATTGACCCTGAACAACACACGAATTTCATTTGTTTCGTGCATAAGTGTCGCGATTCGAATTTACCGAACCTAAATTTACGTTTATTTTATTAAATATATAATATATATATTTATAATAATATATATATTATAATATAATAAATATTAAATTCATTCATGGTTTAGTCTTCAAAGTCTCGACGATCGATTTAGACACTTATATATGTCATTAATGATAGCAATTGTTTCATTCGCGTGCATAAACGCGCGCGGAGGAGTGCCTCCATCGGTTTGTACGTGTAAATAATGCGTGATCGAACTCGTAATTAAACCTTGTAGATTCTTGATTTTCTTACATAAATAAATATGTATTTGCGAAAATATGATGTACAATCACGTGCGGAGATACCGATCATGCACACACGTTTCAAATTCTACATTTTATTCGTGTTAAATAGTAAATTTGTTGTTTCTCATGACATTTACTTTGGACGGAGACATCAGGTTTTTGGGATGAACGATAACATAGAACGCTTTCTCTCTCTCTCTCTCTCTCTCTCTCTCTCTCTCTCTCTCCCTCTCCCTCTCTCTTCT